TCTCAGCCCAGCCCATCATGATGTCCGCTGCGCTGTAGTCAGGGTTCCTCGGCGACGAGGCGTGGAATTCCTCCAGCGCGCTCCTGCGGCGCACCAAGAGCTCAGCCCCAACGAGTTTCGGCGGGCTGCATGTATCGATGCACTGAAACGCACCTCGAAGATCAGCTTGCACTCGTGAACCGACCGGCCCCCAGGTGGGATGCGGGCGGCGACGGGCCACTCACGTGCCTGCGTCTGCCATGTCAAGCCCTGGGAGCGGAGCGTCGTCTCCGACTCCGGGGCGACGCGCGGCCCCTTCGGGATGCCGTCGAGCCCCGGCTCCTCAAACATCTCAAGGACCCCGTCGTTGAAGCTGCGATTGCGGACCATGCTAACACCTCGGCTCCAGGATCCTGCAGTCGCTAAACTCGGAGGCGTAGACGTCGATCTTCTCGTCGCGGAAGCCGTCGATCTTCTCCGTCACCGCCCGCTCCACGAAGATCGGCACGGCGGCCGCCGAAGGCGACGCGCAGGTCGACGCGGCCTTCGCGTTCTGGAACGGGTCCGCGGGGGCCACGGGAGCCTCGCCACCGATCCTCAGGCTGCCGCGCGGCTCGGCCAACGGCCGCTGTCCCGCGCCCGGCGCCCCCGCGGCTCCCGCCTGCTGCTGCTGGGCCTGGACTGGCTGCCTCCAAACCAGCAACCGCCTGCGCCTCCGCGTTGGCCAGCGCCGCCTGCAAGGAAGCCCGCGTCGGCGGCGCGCGGATGGCTGCCGCGGCGGCGCGGGCGGGCGGCCAGCGTCGCTCAGAAAAGTAAACCCGACGATGTCAGGATCGTTCCAGTAGTCCGCCCTCCTCGCGCTCGTCCTCGTCGGGCGCCATGGCCCGCGCCGACCCGCCGCCAGCGTGAGCCTTCATCGCCAAACGTTCGCGCGAGAACGCCTCCCCTGCGAAGTCGACCAGGAGGCGGCGCCACCTGCGCAGCCCCGCGCTGGTCGGCCGCGGCCACCCGCCCAAGCGCATCTGCAACGGGGGCGGCGGGGCCGGCCCCTGAGCGGCCGCCGGCGGCGGCGCCGTCAGAGCGGGGCGCCCGCGATGGCCGCGGGGGCAAGCAGGGGCACAGTGACCGGGGAGCAGCGGGAGCGGCGCACAACGCAGGCGAGGTTGATCCAAGAGAAGGACTCGACAGGTAGATGGCTCGGGCAATGATTCTCGATGAAGGTTCGATTGGCCGAACCATTCCCGCGGAGGCCCTCGAGGGCGCGATCGCAAGAACGGCTGCATGCGCCAGCGCGATTGAGCTGGACATCCGCGCGCACGGGCTGCGCCGAGCGTAGCCACGTGAGCTTCCCAATTCCCAGCCGATGGGAACATGGCAGGACCTTGGAGGTGTCATCCGCCTGCAAGAAGACAGCTCGAGCGAACAATCGGACTGCGGCCGCAGGAATCAGCCATGAAATTGCCGAGACGGTTGGGCCGTGGCCCTCCCAGTTCTTGTGTTGGAAATGGGTCCCGAAGAATTCGGCGGCGGAAGCGCGCGCCGAAGCGGCTGCCGAAACTGATTCGAACGGCGCAGCGCCACGGCGCTCTCTTTCCACACCCAGATGGGCTCTCCCGCGCGCCAAGGACCATTTACATATGTGCATATGCGTGTATATCCTTTCGTATCTCCACGTGGATGCGAGAACATCGCGCGGCGCGCTCGCGGGCGCGCTCGCCCCGACTGGCTTCGACCAGTCCACGGGGCGGATCATGGATGCGATGCAAGCCGGCGTGCCCCTCGGTGGCCTCCGCCGCCCAGCGCTGCAATCGAGCGCCCCCCCCCCCTTTTCCTCCGAGTGAGCGAGGTCGCCCCCGAAGGTTGCCGTCGCTGAGTCGCCATTCTACCTCGGGGCGTCAATCTGCGAAGGCGCGGCTATCTGAGCAAACGGTCAGTTTAGAATCAACGCGCGCGCCAAGAGGTTGAAGACGCCCCGAGGCGCCCGCGAGCTCACGCACGCCGCCGCGCCCGCGAGCAAGGGCCCAGAAACGAGAGGAGCTGAACGCATCATGCACGCGGCGACGGAACAAATCCACCGCGCCACGAGCATTTGATGACCGGAAGAATTCGCCCCATACTCTGAATGTCGAGGAATTGCGAGCGAGGGGGCGAAGGTCAGAGCGGGCCCTCTGGGTTTCCTGAAAGGAGATCGCGTCAAACTTCTGGGCGCGCCGTTTCAGACCGGCGCGGGCTGCGAGCTGATTCTTGCGAGACCCCCAAACGCTTCCACACAATGTCTGACATTCCAGGTTGCCGGAGAGAGACTCGCATAGGTGACCGAGGGCAGCGTGGCGCGATTATTGGGGGCTCAGAGCTGGCCCCGCCATCGTCGGCGCTAAATTTAGAAACACCATCGCTCGAGCTGGCGGAAGGAAGGGGAGGGGGAACGGAGGGGCGAAGGGGCGCCGGGAGAGGACAGCATCGCAGGCTCACTACCAGTTTCAGAGCGAGCAGTCTCAGGACGTGGCTCAGGGGCCCCTGCCGGCCCTGGGGCCATCCTGTGGTGGCGCCGCCGCAGTCCAACAGAGCTCCAAGAGAGAGGTGCCAGCGGCTCATCCTAATGGCAGCCTCGCTGGCGCGCGCCCTAATGCGAAGTCGCCGACGCCGCCGACGTGGCAACTTCGACCTGCCCCTGCACCGCTTGCGCTCTGATGTTCAACCTCGCGACCTCCTCTGGGAAGGGGTTGGATGTCCAGCCTGTCTCATCAGAGCCCTCGATCCTGTACAAATCAGATATGTATCTGTCAAAGATCTAGCTGGTGATGCCCTGGAATCCATTGCAGCCAAATCTGGAACCTTGCAAATTGGCGCCAGCCGTGCGCGGCAACTTGGGCCAGCCGCGCGCTGCAACTTGGGCGTTCCATCCCAGCTGCTCGAAGCAGCCCGCTGCCAAGCACGAGCGCCAAGCGGAAGGTCACCTCGCACGCGAACTGTATGTGCACGACTCTCTCTGCCACCACACTGGCTGGCGGTCGGCGAAGATACGTTGGAATTCTCTAGCGGCAGCCTCCTTTGCGAAGCCACCCGTGAAGCTTTCCGCTGTCATGGAGATCACAAGAGCGAGGCTGTCTTTGATGTGAGCGAGGGTGTGAGACTCCATTTCTCAACGAAGAATTGCCTTTGGGTGAAGGTGAGTGAGCAAGGGAACGTGCCAATCCGCCTCCTCGTACGGTTCATTTAAGGTTGCTCCTGCGGGCGCCGTCGACCAGCAACAGCAACTCCTTCCATGGAACTATATCAAGTCACCTGGTCCGCAGTCGGCCACTGACGACGGGCCTCCAGCCCAGCCGCGATAGACTCCATCTTTGTGCCGACTGCCACAACCACAGCTGTCTGGATGACGCGCTTGTCGCCCATCTCGATTGCGGCCATGCGCTGCGGTACTTGACCGTTGTCTGATTCGTGATTCACCATCTCGGTACGAACGCCCATGATGTTCTGCATGTTCTGTTCCAGCTGGGCGAAAATTGTGCCAGTGGTATTGACGCCATCGATGGGCTCCTTCATCCCCGATGGTGCTGCCGTAAGGATTTGGGAGCCCTGGAGCCAGCGATCGTCTTCTCGTGTTGGTGAGGCTCCTGCCACGGCCGTCGCGCCGAGGACTTCGGCTATGCAACGATGCCGCAGCCTTTTTTTCACTGTGGCGACGGTCCGTCGGACACGGCGAAGAGCGAGCGCTTCGACGACGGGCAGCCTTCTCCGCACGCTTGCCGCCTGTGGGTACCATTCAAACTCGGAGATAAAAAGGGAGTACTTCTCGTCGTTGTCGCTACCAGCACCTGCGACCGTAGGAACTCGAAATGTGCCAATTTACCCGCAGCCGCGGGTTCAGTGAAAGAGAACTAGCTGTTCGACTTGCCCGCAGCCGCTGGGCAATTCACTGGAGGGTCAAATGGGTGTAACCTTGGGGTCAGGCCTCGGTATAGAGGTATCCACTGGGCCCCAAAGGATACCTTGCATCTTGAGCAACAGTGGCTACAGAGGGGGGGTGAGGAGGATGAGGAGGAGGCGGAGGAGGAAAAGGAGGAAAAGGGAGGAGGGAGGAGGGAGGAGGGAGGGAAGAGGGAGGAGGGAGGAGGGAGGAGGGAGGGGGAGGGAGAGCAAGACCAGGACAAGGGTCCTGGGAGCTTTGTGCGATTTGCTGTTGGCCTCCACAATGGCCCCAGACGGGCGCGGGACCCCTTCAAAGCACGACTTGTGAAGAAAAAGCGGGTCCTGAAGAGAGAGCCCCAGGATCTGGGACACGTCTCCCTAAGACGACGCCGGACGAGGACAACTTCGTGTGGGGAATCTCTGAGACCCCGCGGCACTGAGGGACGTCTCGGGGGCCGCGGCCTGCTCAGAGCGTTCGGGAACGCTCTGAAAGCGTTCGGGAATGCTCTGGACCGTCCGACGTCCCCTCGGGACCCCTTTCTTCGTGGAGAGATCCCTCGGAAAAGAAGCCCTGCGCCAATTCAGGGCGCACGGCGTAATTCAGAAACATCGCGGGAATACGACTCAACAACTACATCTCTGTCACAGGGAAGGGCGTTGTGGACGATGTCCGATCACCTCAATGACGACAAATCCCAACATACCTGGAACCCGAATCATCATCCACGGCGCATCTCAAAACTCCTCTGGAGAGGGCGAGAAAGATGTCTAGGATGCAAAAAACAACGGCGAGAGAGCGAGAGAACAAACTTCTGCCCCTTGCCCGTTGCTTCTGATGCGCCTTTGTGAATCAGGCCCTCCCAGATGGTCTGCGCTGCCCTGAGCCGCCGCCAGGTTCAGCACGGAGAGAACGGGCCCTGGAAGAAGGGGTCGTCGTCTTCGGGCCCCCTCCAGGACCCCCCGCTGGCGCCGGGCTCATCCACACGACTTGGGCTGCAGAAGCGGTCTCTGGGGAGGGCCCCGGGGTCTGGGACCCGCTTCCCTCGGGGCCCCTCCTTCACGGCGACCCGTGTCTCTGTGCGGCTATGGCCGGCCGCCGAGTGCGCCGCCGGGTGCTTGAAGCCGGCCGGCGTGCTCTCGGTGGCCGCGCTGCGGAGCTGCGGGCAGTTGCACCTGAGCTGCCAGTGACGATGCCGGCGACGACGGCGACGTGGACGACGGCGGCGACGACGACGACCAACGCTCGGGCCCGCCCTGCCCCCCCTGCCAGTGTGCGCGCGCGTTGGGGCGCAGGCGCGCGGCCAGCTGCGCCATGCGCCGCAGAGGGGCTGCCAGCCCAGGCGAGCGAGGGAGGACGAAGCCAGGGCCAAGACAAAGCCGGATCTGGAGGATGTATCTTGGGCGCCGCGGCCGTTCTAGGGCGCTCCAGAACGCTCCGGAACGACTTATCCTGCTCCTGGGCCCGCCAAACGACGGGAGGCTTCTTAATGGATGGTCGACGCGCCTCTGCCAACAAGTGCGGCTCGCCGGGAGGGAGAGCAGTAGGGAGACGGAGGGCAGGATGGAGGGAGGGGCGCACGAGAATACGCGACCACGTGCGAACCCTGACCCTGCAGGTCCGATTTCTGGCCTGTCCGATTTACGGCCCGCCGGTGCTCAGAGCTCAGAACATGAAAGACGTCTGCAACCAAATGAACTCCCGCCGGGGTTTCCGATAACCCCAGCTTGGACTGGACCCGTAGGGGTAGCGTTCGCAGGCGGCTGCACAGAGGAGGGAGGGAGGCATGAGGAAACTCAACATCAGCTAGGGCGACGGGATCTATACATACCTATACGACCCTTCGTTTGATGATGAGGTTGTGGGGGGGGGAGGTCAGCTTTCGGCGTGCGATTGGGCTCGGATCTGATGCTGCAGAAACCAGTTGGGCACCACGGAGCCCCTGTTTGGCCATCTATCGAACGGCCTCACTCTGTATCCACATATCGATATCACTATCCATACCCCTCGTTCTGTCGACCTCACTGTTTAGCGATCTTACTATCGGTCTCACTATCGATTTGCTGATCGATCTCGTTATCGATACCACAAAAGATCTCACGGGAACCACTGGGCACCACTGGGCACCACGGGACATCACGGGACATCACGGGACACTCTGGACACCACGGGACAGCATGGGACACCAGCGGGACATCCCCGAGCCACCGCTGGCCAACCAGGAGGCGTAGAGTCATTGAGTTAAGTTTCGACCTAGCGACGGCGGGTTTACTCCTCCCGCCCGCCCACGCAGCCTCGCATCGCCGGCACGCACGGCACGCACACGCAACCGAAAGCGATTTCCCGGTGGGGGGCCTCCGTTTTACTCCGAACTCACCCCGCCGACCTCCGATCCACTGCCCCAGGCCTGACTCACCCAGGGCCAGGAGCGGGGCACACGCCCTCCTGGCTTGGCCAGGGAAGCATTTGCACCGCTCCTGGGCCCAAGGTGGGCCAGGACTGGGGCAGTGGATATGTGTGACGGGGCCCAAGGACATAAATAAGTAAGCACGAATCCCAGGGCTCCCCATACTTGCTGGGTTTCCGTCTTCCCCCCCACTTCCCATATTTTCCTGCAGGTCGACGGTTCATTGTGTCTGTGTATTGTTTTCCCTTATGAATGTGGCAGGTTCGGGAAATCCTGAACCCAAAAGCGATTCCATGTCTTGGGGGCGCACCTTGCACTTTCGCAGGCTTCCGCCACCCTTCCGCCCGCTTCCGCCAGCGGAGGCGGCCTCGTTTTACTTCTGCCGCCCGCCGAGGAAGAGATGGCAACTCACTCGATCCTCGAAGGCGAGGCCCTGTCTGGAATGCCTCATGGATCTCGCTAGCAGCAGCAGAAGACGGGGAGCCGCGAGCCTGAAAGCCGAGCAGCTCCACCGCCGGGGGGCCCTCTGCGGCCGGCGGTGCGGCCGGGGATCGCTGTGCGAGCGGTGGCGCGGTCGGGCGCAGGCGTTGCCCCGCCAGAGAGCCGAGGAAGGGAGCAAGGGAGGGGCGGGAACTAGAGGCGAAAGGAGGATGGGGAAACAACACGAGGGGACGGCCCCATGGGGGGGGAACATCGAGCTTGAATCGGAGAGACACCGACGCTAGATCGGCGATGGGCCCGCGATTGCGAAACCGCACCCTTCTGGACGGGGTGGGCTATCAGACCCCTATCTCGACGACGAGTGGGCGATTGGGGGGTCGATGCGTCCCCACCGGAGCCCATCCCCCTGCAGCACTGTCCCTGCAAAGACGTGGCAGGAGGAAGGGCGAGTGAGAGGGGACTGCCTGTCAGGCGCCGCCCCGCGCGCGGGCGCTGCCGAGGTCGCCCGCTTGTCGGCGTTCTTCGACCACTCCTCCTTGCAGGCCTTCTCGCCGTCCTTCCGGAGCGGCTCATTAGCGGAGAGGGCGACAGCGGCACACGCGTGCGCCGAGCGCGGTGCTGGGCGGCGGAGTCTAGAACAGCCGACTGAGACGCAACGAATTCCAACACCATACGCTTCACCCCAACCCATATCCCGCAATCCCCCCCGTCCTTCCAGTTGGTGAACATGATGCACTCCTTGTCGACAGCGGCCTCTTGTCCGTAGTTGCCCCAGCGGGCCTTCAAGGGGAAATACCACCCCGTCTCCTCCTCGCAGTCGCGCCGGAAGTGACTGTGCCCGAACTTCTTGTTCTCGACAAAGAATTCCGCATCCCCGCGCCGGAGCACCGACCAGGTCTCGGCACGGGGCCACGGCTTGCGCCAGTAGTCGTCGGCACAGAACTTCGAGCGGGGTCTGCTGGACAGCTCGGAGTAGATGTATTTCATCGGCTTCACTGGCACCGAGTCGCTGGAGACCATGAGGAAGTGAGTGATCGTGGAGTCGGACACAGCCTTCTCGAGCAGAAGCATCTGCGCCTCCCACATCTGGCACCAGGTTGTGCGCACCTGCTGCTGAAAGAGATAAGGGGCGAACGATGGGCTCTTCCAGGTCGAGTTTCCCCGGGGAGGCAAGCCGTACGCGTGGACGTACACGGAAAACTCCAGATCGGCTGCGCTTGCCTGCTCCAGCCAGTACGCCCAGGTGTCCTCGTTGTCGATGTGGTCGTTAGCGAACATCAGGAAGGCCACCTTGACCTTCTGGTCAGCCTTGGCCTCATCGTACGGCGGCTTCTTCCCCCACTCCTCCGAGTCCTGTCAGCTGGATGAGTGGCCGGAAATGAGCCAGGGGCCTGCGTGTCCCCGTCAGAACACGGTCAGGAGCTTTTGCTCAGCGTGTCACCACGGCGGCCCAACCGACACGCTATGCCTTGCGAGTGGATGGCGTGTCGCTCCGCCACGTGCTGCGGCAGGCTCGGGAAGGCTCTGGTCGTTGAAGACAGGAGACTGGGAAATGGAAAGCGTGTTGCGCCGAAGCGTGGTGGGCAAGAGGGGCCAACATCGGCGGAACGACACGCTAAGCTAAAGCCCCCGACCGTATATCAGGATGAGGGGGCATACCGCGGTCACGTGAACCATGTCGAGATCGCGCACTGAATGGACATGCGGGGCGCGCAATGTAAGAGCCGATCGCCAGAATACAACGTGCGGTCACGTGTGTATCCAGCCCTCGCCCAGGCCGACCACGCCAAGTGTATTCAGCTCCCTAGCCCGCGCTCTCAGAGTCACAATCGGTGGCGACATGCTATGCCGTGGTCCCGCGCTCACACAGCCACATGAATGAACAAATGCCGTGCAACGGATGCACGCTACCAGGGCCACCAACCTTTTCAATACGATAAGGGAACTGCTCTCACGAAACCAACATCACTTGAATGATGCACTGTATGAGAACTCCAAGGACAAAAACCCTTACAACATAACATCGATCTAAACCCAGAGGAAGACGACTCGTCGCAAAATAATACGGGTTCGAGCTCCCAGGGTCGCGACGTCTAGTGAAAGACTGAAAGATCAGCGTTGGCACGGCCGGGGTCCAAGGAGAACCGCAAATGTGCTCGCGCTTAGCTTGTCTCCAGAATCTCAGACCAGCGGGGGCGGCCCAAACATCAGAAAGCGTACTTATTTCGGTAGGGGGCCACATGCGAACCCTACCCCTACCCCCCACGATTTCTGAGGGGGAGGGTGGGGTTCACTTCGTTCAGAAATCGTGGGGGTAGGGGTAGGGGTAGGGTTCGCATGTGGTCCCCTATTCGGTGTGGCGATGATTTGTGCACATGGGGCCCACATGGACTCTCTTCCCTCCGCCCTCCTGTCCTGCTCCTCCCTCCTCTCTTCTCCTCCTCCCCTCCCTCCCGCGTCCTCGCCCTCCTCCCCGCCCCCCCTCGACGGCGCTGCTGAGCATGACGCTTCCTCCTGCCGAGTCGATCCGACCCCTCTTCTCCAGAAAGCATGGCGGGCCCCCGAAAGCTTCCGGAACCCGCCGAGGATCCCCCGAAACCCTCTCGGCACACTGCCCTGTTCCTCCATCCTGCGTCATCCTGCGTCATCCTGCCTCCCCGACCCCCCTTCTTCCCACTTCTGCGCACTGCCCAAAACGCATGGGAGCGGCGGGAGGTGGAGGGCGGGCAGGGGCGGCGGGAAGAAGTGGGACCCGAGGGGTGGGTGGTTGGAGGGGCAGCGTACGTGTGCAGATTGCGCGCGTTGTTGGTTACGTGTCTGCTTTTTTAAAACCTCGACACGTCTCATTCTGATGTGCAGAATCAGCGGCTCGATCCTCTTCGGCGTCTTGTGATGTGTGGACGGCCCCCCCTCTCCAAACCATAGAAGTCGCTTGGCTCTAAGTGCCAAGGTGTGGGCAGGCAGTGTGGCCGAGCATGTCTCCAGAGCCTTCTGTGGTCCGGCCCGCTGTGGCGAATTCAGAAGACTCCTTGCAGAAGCCTTGTTCGTCCGCTTCCAGTCCCCGGTCAGAGGGTGGCCTCCATCTGCACCACGGTCCCCTTCCTCCCCCTCCCCCTCCGCTCCCTGCGAATGTTGCCTGCTGGTGCTGTCCCAGCGGTCCCAGTGCCACGAGTCCTCGCAGGCAACGAGGGGTACGCTGATAAGGCCACGGTCACTCGAAAGGAGCCCGCCGCGATCCCAGGATGCTGCATCACGTCGCTCCGAAAGGTATCCTTCTTGAGCAGGACTGGATGGAGCCCACAGGTGCCAGAAATCATCGAACGGCGACATCGGCATGAGCGAAATTACCGTACAGAACAACGAGCAGCTATAAATGAGGCGTGTGATGCTGAAACCACCCACAGATTCAGCGCTGCGGCGCTGAGGCGGCAGAGCAGCCATGAGACGACGCAGGTGAAGGCCAAATCCTTCTGGCATGTGCTACTGGATAAACGGGAAGGACGTCTAACACTGAGGGGAAAAGGAAGAGAAGGAAAAACAGGAAGGAAGAGGAGGAACTATAATAGTAGCAACTAGCTACAATAAGCAACATAACAAGAACGAGCAACGAATGATGATACGAATAGGAAAAAGAAGAAGAGAAGGACGGCGAGGATGACAACGAGAAGACAGACGATGACAACGACGACGACGACAACGTCGGCGATAACGGGGAGGATACATCAAATCAAACGATCCTGGATCATGTGCATATCATGGGTCCACGGCCTGTTGAAGACCTCAGGGTTGGCGGCGCCAGACGCATGGCCGTGGTCGCTGACATCGCCATTCTTCAGGCAGTCCCCCACCTGAGAGACGACACGCGCGGGTAGCCAGAGAAAAGGACGACGAGGGAAGTGTTCGAGTTTGAGTCCTGTTCTCGGCGGTGGCACAGCAGCCTGGTTCCCATACCTCGAGCGGCGCGACGGATAGCGATGGCGTCTCCTCAAACAATTGCACTGCTTCCTGCTTCCAAGGGGGCATAATCATCCCGCCCCCCTTCCGCTAATCCTGGTTTTCGCCCCCTCCCCCCTTCGCCTCCGGCTCCTCCACCTTCCGTATTTCCTCCTCCTCCTCCTGCTCCTGTTCCTCCTGTTCCTCCTCCTCCTCCTCGTTCTCGTCCTGCTCCGTGTGCTGTTGCTGGTCCTCCTCTGGCTGCTGCTCGCTGGTCCTCCTGATCCTCCTCCTCCTCCTCCTCCGCCGTTTCCTCCTCCTGCTGCTCCCCCCTCCTGCTGCTCCCCTCCTGTTCCTTATGCTCCTCCTCCTCCTCCTGCTCCTCCTGCTCCTCCTCCTGCTCCTGCCACTGCTCCTGCGTCTCCTCCTCGTCCTCCTCCTCCTCCTCCTCGTCCTCCTCCTCCTCCTCCACTTCCTCCTCCTCCTCCTCTTCCTCCTCCTCCATCTTGATCCTCATGATTGAGCGCCCATCTATGCATACTGTACATCTATGCATCATACTACGCATACATCAGGGAAGCACCCCGCGCCCATCTATGCATACATCTATGCATACATCTTGTTGTCCTCGTCCCACCCGCGACCCCACCCGCGACCCATCCCGCGACCCACCCGCGACCCACCCCGCGACCCACCCCGCGACCCACCCGCGACCCACCCGCGACCCACCCGCGAGCCACCCCGCGACCCACCCGCGACCCACCCGCGACCCACCCGCGACCCACCCCGCGACCCACCCGCGACCCACCACGCGACCCCGCGACCCATCCGCGACCCACCCGCGACCCACCCCGCGACCCACCCGCAACCGATCCCGCGACCCGCCCTCGAGGGAGGAAAGAACACCCGGACCCGACAATTGACGTTTACTAAACGGCCCTGGGCGTTGACTAAACGGCCCTGCCCTGTTCGATTCGTTCCATGTGTGCGTTTACTAAACGGCTTCGCTTGCCAGGGTGATTATTATGGGGTGGATTTTCTGCCTCCACACCCGCGACCCACCCGCGACCCAACAACGACCCGCCCGCGACCCACCCGCGACCCATTTGCGACCCACCCGCGATCCACCCGCGACGTACCCACATTGGTTTAACGAAAAATCGGCGCCTGCGGCGGGCTCGTTCTATAATTTGTGCAACTTTGGCGCCTGCGGCGGGCTTCTTCAGAGTCTCGCAAACTGCCGACATCCCCAGCGCCCCCTCACTCTGATCCGCATCTGCGGGGTGCTACGTGTGTATATCTATGTAGACGCAAACACCAACTTGGGTGAATCAGCCACGCCCAAGCGGCGATGACTCGCCAAAAACGTATTTGACATCGGCCTTTAGTCGGGTTGCCTCGATCTACGCGCGGTTGCGAGAGGAGGGAAAGGAGGAGGAGGAGAAGGAGGAGGCACAGCGTTCGAAACCTGTCTCACAACTATAGAGTCCGCACCTCGCCAGGGCGGGTGGGGGTGGGCTGCAGCCCATTACATGATAACCTCGCGGACGAAGAATCACGCGATGGAGGAGAAGAAAGGGAACGAGTAAGCGAGGAAATAGCCGGCTCCGAGAAGTCGTCGCGGTAAGCACGGTGTTCTCCAGGACATCCGACGACCACGCAGAGCGAGCAGAATATGTCCATGGATTGCTCAATCGACATCTGGCTCAGGAGGTTCTCCCAGGACAGGCCTGACACCAGTCACCTCGAAGTACTCGGGCCTGTCGTCAAACCTCGCAGATTATTCAGCCAAGTGGTCCGCAAGTGCAATGTCTTCGAAGTTCTTGTAGTTAATCGGCAAAGCACGCGGTTCGATGTGGGACGGGCCGCAACGACTTTTGCCAGGCTGGATCGAGGACGCCGCCTCCGCACCAGCAGGGGCCGCACACACCGACGCTTCCACATCCAGCGCTTTGCCTTCAAGGTGATAGAAGAAGCAGCCGTCGCGGGAACAAAAGCGACCATACTTGTACACCCTGGAACCAACATAACGTCCACGAATGTGTGCGGGCGGCGAGCGCTCGTGCGCAAGGGACTTCTGGATGTCCCGAAACTGCACTTCCAGGTCGGCCAAACGATGAGTAACACAGGTCCTCCAGCATCGGCGTGCGGTCGCCAGCCGTCTCCGCCGACTCAGCACGATCGTTGACATAGGACTCAACCTCCCCTATGCGCGCGAACACTGCACTCATCTGCTATGCAACCTTGCATTCTAAACGTTCCAGTGGCGGCGCGAGTGCCACCTGAACAGCTTGCGGGATTGATGCAACGACACCCTCGGGGACCACCTTGGGGAGGGCGGAACTGACGACGCCCTTGAGGAGGGAGGCCGCCAAAGAGCACACCTGTTCAGGCTTCGGGATGGAGTTGAGGACGCCCTTGACGGAACGCTCCAGATTACCTCGTTCCACATTCCGTCGCCGCTCGTTGACGCCCTGGGCTCGCTCTCTCGGGACTCCTCCGAGACACCATGACCCGGTTGCCGCCAACAAGAGGCAGGAGGCTCAGGACACGTTCGCGAACCAGGACCGCAAGGGCCACGGGCACCAGGAGGTCCAGAGTCGAAATCCTCCTTAGCTGCGCCGAACGAAGCATCCTCATCGGGCGCCGCCCCAGCAGTTGCACAACCTTGGGCAGGAACATCCTGGGGCACTTCATGGCTGTCCGCGCGAGGATGGGGCCTAGAGTAAAGGACATCGGGACCACCAGAAGCACCACTATCGGGCCGCAAGCATAGCCAACGAGATCGTCCGCAGCTTCACGAGGCTCTCCCAATCCAGAATCAGGCACGTTCTTGCAAAGCGAACCAATCCGCCTCCCCGACGGGTGGAGAAAACAACAGTCCTGACGAAGGCAACCCCGTCCCCGTGACCATGACCATGGGGGTGGGCGCAACAACGGCTGGCACTTCCCGAGTACCCGGCGGGGCCTGCAATCCCGTGTCGCGGGGACCGAGGCCGCCGAGCTCCGCATTGAGATCTGCGACGAACTGTACAGCCCCTTCTTCGCTAAAGCTTCTCCGACCAGCCCACAGGCGCATCGAGCTCGCGAAGCCTGCGGCGAGTCCTCGATGAGAACCCCGAGCTGTCGCCCAGCGGCCGCGAGACCTTGCAGAGGCCGACCCAGAGCTGCCGCAAGGAGCAGGAGTGCCTGTCGATGAAGGTCTGCAGCGAGCAGAAGACCATCTGCGCAGCGCGCTGGAGCCATGGCGAAACACAACAGCGAGTAGAGAAGGCACAAAAAGGAACGACAATCCGCAGAGACCGTGCACGCCAGCCCGTCTTGCGCCCAAATGGCTACGGATGAGGAGGAGGAGGAGGAGGAGGAGGAGGAGGAGGAGAAAGAGGAGAAAGAGGAGCTGGAGCAGAAGGCCAAAAGCGGGAGGCGAGAAGGATCTCGTGCATCGGAGAAAAGGGATGAGAGGGGGGGAGGGACGCGGAACGAGGGGAGAGAGAAGGGGAGGGGGGGAGCGGAGACGGAGAGGGAGTGGGAGACGGGAGATGCGGGGAGACGAGATGGGAAGCGACGAGGAGAGGGGAGGGGGTGACCACGCGTGGAGGGAGGTTCGGGCGTGCTTCCGCCACCTGCAACCGCAACTTGGCCTCGAGGAGGTGCTCGGTGTTCACGGCTCCCTGGCGCCCCCGCGGTCGACCCCCCCTCCTTTCTTCCCTTTCCCCCGCCCTCCCTCCCCCCTCCACCTAGCATTCCCCCTTCCCCTCTCCGCCGTCCCCCGTGCCCCCCTCCGTCCCTCCCTCCCCCACCCACTTCCCCCCCTCCTCTTCCCCTTTCTCCCTCCCTCCCCTTCCCATGTTTCTCCTCCTCCTCCTCCTCCACCTCCACTCCCCCCATCCATGTCTTCCAGCGTGGCGTTCGAGAACACCTGGCCCCGCTGGAGGCTCATCGGATCATGGTCGGCGGTCGCGCCCACGACACCTTTTGGCGAGGGGCATGCCGGAGTAAGGAACAGATCCACCACCACCAGCATCCACAATGCAGCTCAGGACACGAGCCTTGTTCGACGCACCCCCGCCGCCAGGCCATGCGCCCATAATATCGACCCAGATCTGGGCCCGGTGGACATGAAGAGGCATGGTGGCGGTGGATGACCCTTCCCCTCCCCATCACGACAGTTTGACGCTTCGGCCCCACCCCCCACCCCCAGCAGTCCAAGAATACGGCGAAGATGAATCGTGGGCAGCGCAGCAGAGAGACTGTGAGGGCAAGCTCTTCGTGGAGCCTCGTCTGGCCCAGAGCACCACGAGTTGCGTCATACACTCCACAACTGGTTGCGCTTGGTGGGTGCGCTACGGGGTGCGCCATAGGGTGAGCTAAGGAATCCAGGGTCTGAAAGCTGGTGGAACACCAGTTGAGGCTTGACCGTGGATATCACGGCCGCACTCATCAGATTCGCCACCGTGCCCTAGGGCACGAGTTGGAGGTTCATTGTTCGATCCCCTGAGCCTCAGCCCTCACGCCCGAGGAGTCTTTAAGGGGCTCGGGCCCCGAGGTCTAAACTCGCCTGAGGCCTGGCGCGTTTCCTCTGGGCTCCCTCGAGTTGTGGCGCATGGCCTGAGAAGGGCCTGAGACGGACCAAGAGACCTCCAAGAGCCCGCCCAGACGGTTCAAGGGTGCTCCGGAGCGCTACAAGACGGTCCAAGACGCTCAGGGTGGATCCAAGATGGCCCAAGAAGCCTTCGAGACGCCCCAAGAGAACTCCAGGAGTTTTCCTAAGAGGGCTCCGAGAGGCCCAAATCATGGATTCCCATGATATGTTCAATGTTTGCTGGGTTATCGATTTTTCGAGCTTCCGATACTGCATCACGTCCCAAGAAGCTTCCGAGACCACCCCAAGACGACCCGAGAGGAGCCAGACGGCGGCCCAAGAGGCGCCCGAGACGGACCAAAAGAGCCCCAAGACGGCCAAGAGGGGCCCAAGAGAGGGAGCCCGAACCGACAATTCGAGCCTTCCATCCCAGGATGCCCCCAGGAGGTCCCAAGAGGCCCCCAAGAGCCCCCAAGAGGCCTGCAGAGGCCTCCAGGAGGCTCCCAAGATGCCCCAAGAGGCCCTAAAACGGCCCCAAAGAGGCTTGAAAACTGCTTCCGCAAGGCCCCCGAGAGGCCGACCGCGACGTCCCAACGAACATCCGAGAGTCCTACGACCCCCAACCCAGGCATGGTGGCGGGATGGGCCGAAGGCCCTTCGATCTGCCGCCCCCTGTGGTCTTGCCACAAGGGTGCCCAGCGTGCTGGCCTTCAGATGGTTCTCGGTTTGTCTAGAACTCCCCCCTGGGGCTTCGGCCCAGCGCGCCGCCCTCCCAGAATTTGCAACGCCCGTTGGCCTTACCGCTTAAAACGCTCCCCAGAGGGCCTCCACGACGGCCAAGATGGTCTACGATGGCTTCCAAGTCAGCCCAAGATTATCCAAGATGGCCTCCAAGACGGCCCAAGACGGTCCAAGATACCTTCAAGGCCGCCCAAGGCTTTTGAAAGATTTGGGCATTTGTTTCTTTTCGGCCTTCCGACGGCCCGAGACGGCCCACGAGCCCCCGAAGATCGCCTCAAGATCGCCCAAGAGGCCCCCCTAGATGGCCCCAGAACGGCCCAAGAGGCCCCCAAGACGGCCCGAAGAGGCCCCCAAGGCGGCCCCAAGAGGCCCCCAAGACGGCCCAAGAGGCCTCCAAGACGCCCAAGATGGCCTCCAAGACGGCCCTGGAGCACCCGAAGGGGGCCCAAGCCAGTTGAGAAAGGCCCCCAAGACGGCTTCCGACGGCGTCAGACGGGCCAGCAACCCCCTAAGACGGCCACAGGGGCCCCCAAGAAGTCCCCGAAGGCCCCAAAGAGGCGCAAGCAGGCCCCCAAGCTGCCTCCAAGAGGTCCCCAGAAACCTCCCAGAAAGCCATAAGAGTGCCCCCAGAGGCTCCCAAGATGCCCCCTCCTCCTTCTCCTTATTCTCCTCCTTCTCCTCCCCGCCATCCTTCTCAAAGTACTCCCCGAAGGGTTTCCACACTGGCGGGGGGACCACATGGTCCGATGGCTTGCACAGCTCTGGCCACAGCGTGCGGCCACATGGGCGATTCCAAAGAGCAGAGGGCGGCGGTGACTCGCCGTAGGCGTCTTCGATAAGGAACCCTCCACGGTCTGAAGCTTTCTGGGCACATTGCTCAAGGAACGCCCCCACCGCATATTATCGTACCATACTTTAGGCCATGGCTTGAGCCATAGGTTGCAAACAAGAGGTTGAGCCAAGGGGTGCGCCGAAACTGCGCTGCGGTTCACGGCCGGGATTATGCCAGAAGCTGCGCCACCATCTGCGCCATAGCGAAGGCTGAGGTTACGTCCCTGGTCGCGCCTGAGGTTGCGGCACGCATCGTGACAGAGGTTGCGCCGTGCATTGCTCCACAAATTGCGCGATCCCCCACGCAGCAACACCCACCCGCTTTATGTCCCAATTGCGCTACGAATTACGTGATGAGTTGCGCCACAGGTTGCGCCATACGTTTCGACAGGGGCCTGGTCCTGTTCACAGGTTGGGGCGTGGGAGGTTTCGCCTGAGGCTGCCGAAACATCACTGAGCCTGCCAGTTGCCACTGCTTGCGCCATAGTTTGCGCCATCGTCCGAAACAACTAAAGTGGCCAATGATTGGTTGCGCCATAGCTTGCGCCCCGGCCCACTGAATGTTAGAACGGGTGCGCCGTCGGGCGCAGCCAGCCAGGACACTCTAGTCCGCAAGTCAGGCAACTTCCTCACAAAAAGCAGGCATAGGGCTGCGACGAAAATCTATAGCGAGGCCAACTTGTCAAACCTTAGCTCAGGGTACCCTTCTGGGGCCGGGAAGACAAAAATGAAAGGAGCACCCAGCTCCTTCAGAACCTGAGTTGCCCATTACGCTGAACTCGAACTCCTACAAGAAAAGATCAAAGTGTTCCTCGAAACAACGCTTGCCCTTAGAGGCTCTTATTCCCCAACCGACTGCTTGGCGTTAGGTGTTCAGGAAAGAACTCCCGTCTGCCCGCTCTGCATACCGCGGTCGCCAGACCCCACGGGATCCTGGGAGTTCCTGAGTATCCCGCCTTGCGTCCTCGACCAATGACGACACCATACCGCCGTCGCCAGACCACACGTAATCCCAGGATTCCCTGAGCGTCCGCCTCGCATCCCCGATGGATGACGACACCCTGCGTACAAACAGCCCCGTGCGGGAGGCGTCACGGTGTTACGCCGTCCAGGCTTCGCGACGCATGAGCAAAGAGGTATGCAGAACAGGCAACAAAAACACACAACAATAACGGGCACGTGCTCCATATCAAAAATACACTGGAAAGACAGAACATAACCTAGTAGCACATGAGAGACCATACAATAATAACCAGACCGTAACATAACACATCAGACAGAGACATAACATATCATACCCTACCACAGGATGGCATATCAGACCATGCAATCGCATCAAATCATGCATCACACCATCAATTAACATATTGTACGGTGGAAGATCGGATCATCGCAGCGTGCAGCATAAACTAAAAGATCAAAGCAAAACACACTTGTTCTACGACTGCTGAACTAGGGAAGACATTGGCGGCAAGCAACGCCGCTTACCTGAACAATGAAAGCGGCCCCCACCAACACAGAACACATTGGCCCCGCGGGCCGACCTTACCCCCCCCCCCCCCCTAGGCCGGGGTGGGTGCCGTCTCCAGCGGGTTTCGCAGCACCAGTCCACGTCCAATGGCGAACTTCGGAAACCCTGAACCCAAAGCAATTTTCATCTCTTGGGAACGCATGCTTTACTTCCGCCGCCTTCCGCCGAGCTTTCGCCGGCTTCGGCTTCCGCCGGCTTCCGCCGGCGGAGGCGGCCTCGTTTTGCTTCCGCTGGCCTTCCGCCACCCTCCGCGGCCTTCCGCTGCGGAAGTGATAACAACTAGAGGCCTCCTAGATGGGGTCCGAGTAGATGGGGTCGGGGGATCTCACCGCATCGCCGATACATCGACGATGCATCGCTGATGCATCGGCGATGCATCGGCCATGCACTGGCGACGTCAGCGATGCATCGGCGACGTTGGCGTGGAGAAAATCGAGCCCCACATCGAGCCACATCGGCGATGCGGCGCGATCCCCCGACCCCATCTACTCCAACCCCATCTAGGAGGCCTAGAACAACTCGTTCGCTCCTCGAACTCAAGGCCATGTTTCGAACGCGTCAAATGGGGGGGGCGTGCCGGGAGAGCCAGCCGACCCTGCCCCAGTCAGGGCTGGGCTGCTTTTGACGATGGTGGTCGGGCATCTCAGGGGGGAGGTAGCTGGGCAACCAGACATCAGCTTGGAATTTCTTCCCGGGGGGGGAAACCTCGTAGATGCAGCGGGGATTCGAGCAGCACGCGATCGAAACCTGCTGGGCCACCCCCTTCAGGACCGAAGCAGGTGCTCCTGCCGAGGAGACGCTCCAACCGGGACAGGGTCAAGATAAGAACACCGTTTGGCCGAAGAGCGCACGGGCCTCGCTGTATCCTTCGGCCGAAGTCGTCGTGCTCTGGATCCTGGACGGCCAGTGCGGAGCACCGCCCCACGAACAGCGCCGCGGCCAGCGGGCGTGCGAACGCCATGGATGTTCAGTAAGGTGAGTGCCGGGTGAGCGAGCTGCAATTCCGGTGCTGCGAGTACGGGAAGGAAGGAGGAGGGGAAGCGCTACTGGCACTGCTAATGAAACACCTACTCCTCCTCCACCCCCCTCCATTATGGTATCATCCCTCGCCTCCTTTTAGATAGCCAGCTTCTCCTCCTCCTCCTCCTCCTCCTCCTCCTCCTCCGCCTCCACTTCCTGCTCCACCTCCTACTCCTTCTTTTCAGTTCCATTCCCCTGCAAGGCGCAGCGCTCGCGTTGCGCGCTCGGGAGACAAGAACGGCCGTCCTCCGCGCAATTTCGCGGTTGCTCCCATTCGCATCGTCGCTTTGGAGGGAGGGGGGAGGGGGGAGGAAGAAAAGAAAAGAGTGCGTTTCGCTGCGTGCATTTTGCCTTTGCTTGGCCCACTGGATTGATGCCCCAGTCAACATGGCTGAATTTGCCCCAGAGTCGGCACCTGAACAGAGCGCGCTCCGAGACAACTCTGGGGGTCGATTTCGAAGGGGGCCGGGGCCGCCTGGAGCCTCCCGGGAGCTGGTCGGGTGGGGTATCTTAGGTAACCGAACTCTATACACCGACGCGTTTTCCGGCCGTGCACTGAAACTCGTACAGGAAAGCGTATCCTGGTGTACACGGGATGCTGGTGTATGCATTCTCACCATTTCCCCAGGACAACGGGGGAACAACTATACACCACACCACCCCGACATCGTCCCTGACCCTCAAAAAGCCAAGGGATTGAAAAACAGCACGCCACTGGTAATGTATATGTTCCAGTTTCCGATATCTTGGGCGGCGCGGGGTGGGGAGGAGGAGCGGATGGGGAGGCGGCGGGACGGAAGCGGAGGGTAAGTTTTGGTTCACCAGGGGCGGATCGCGGATGCAACTTTTCGGCTATTCCTGACCCTGCTTGGGGTCCTCCAGGGACCTCCCGAGACCCTTCCCCTGAAGCTCAGAACTTCCAGGGATGGAAGGGCCGATAGGAACGGGAAGTGGAAAGGAAAGTTGAGGCAATTACTGAGAGCTCTTCGTATGAACCAGCGATGGCTACAAGCGGGATGGGCCAGATGACACCCCAGGGTTAAACTGGAAACGGCTAAGCTGGAGAAATCAGATTCGGATTAAGCCAGGTTCGTCTTAAAGCCGGAACACGCGGATAAGCCAGAATAATCTGATTAGCGGATAAGCTTCACGCGGTGGATAAACCGGATTAAACTGAAAGGGGAATTAAACAGGATTCGGCCGATTGTCGACCACGGATCTACCAGCGCCGACGCTGAATTAAACTTCCCCCGGAGTTACACCCCCGAAGGATGGGAAGAGAAGGGGAAGGGGAGAAGGGGATGGGCGTGGAGAGGGGGGAGGGAAACGAGGGGTCGGGATGGGGAGGGGAAGGGGGCATTTGGGGACTCGGGGACCAAATCCACAGAGTGGCAGCAGCTCGCGCAGCAGAAGGAAGGCGTCGGGTGGTCGGGCGTGGAGGTCGGGATGGGGCGGGGATGTATCGTGAAGGAATGGGGACAGAAGAGGCGATTGGAGGGGACGGCAGAGTCGAGGTCAGGGACGGGAGGCTCGTCCTCCCTGTTTTTGTTGGTCCTCCATCAGATGAAACTGTTGCCTCAGTTATCCCGTATTCTCCAATATACATGTTTCTGCTCCTCTTCCTCTGATTAATATATCAATGTCCCTCTCCGTCCCCCATCTACATCTCCGTATGCATAGTACTATCCCTCCCCAATCTCCCCATTCTCCTCCACCGACTCATCCTCATCGTCATCATCATCATCATCATCATCATCAGCATCATCAGCATCATCATCAGCATCATCATCAGCAACATCATCATAATCATCATCAGCATCATCAGCCTCATCATCAGCCTCATCACCGTCATCATCATAATCAGCAGCATCAGCAGCATCATCAGCAGCATTATCATCACCATCATCATCTTCAGCAGCAACAGCGGCATCAGCATCAATATCAACATCATCAGCATAATCACAAACATCATCACCGTCATCATCAGCATCATCACCATCATGATCATCACTGTCACCATCACCAACATCAGCAGCATCATCGACATCATCATCGCCACCACCACCATTATCAGCAAGCTCCCCCGAATCATCACCATCAACATCATCATCACCATCACCATCACCATCATCACCATCATTACTGTTGTCTACTCCCTGTTCTCTCTAATCCCCTTCTCCTCCCCCCTCGTCTGTGCCATCTCTTCCCACCTCCATTATCCCTGTCATCCTCCTGCTCCTCCTTCACCTCCTCCTCCTCCTCCTCCTTCCGCTCCTTTTCCGTCTGTTGGAACGGCCCATTCTGAAAACTATGATGTGGAATCCAATCAAACAAATCCCCAGACAACATGGACAACCCGTGCGGACTACTGTCGAGAACCCCTTGGACATTCCCTTGGGGGATCTGGACAACCCCACCAAACAACCCCCTTGGACACTCCGCCCCAAATTTTCCTTCCATAAGATGTAATACTCCCCTCAGTTCCCTGAGTTCGTCCGGAAGATGGCCCGTTCTCTCCGCGCAATGTTTCTCGCACGCAGGATCGGCCAAATGTGATCTGACCCCTAGCTGTATACAGATGGATTGCTGACGGTGCTTCAAGATCGTGCTCCCGCTGCAGCGTCGGGTTTATGTCGGATCGGCGCACTTCTCCCGTCGTTCAGCACGGCACTCTCGCCCCACCGAGGGCCACATCTCTCGATCTGACGCATTTCTCATCGTTGCCGCTCCCCCTCGATGCCCCTCCTCCACCTTCCCCTGGTCCTCCTGCTCCTCCCGCTCGTTCCACTCCAACTCCTGCTGCGGTTCGTCCTCGCCCTACTCCTTCCGCCTCCTCCTCCTCCTCCTCCTGCTCGTCCTCCTGCTCACCCGCCGCCTCTTCCTCCTCCTATGTGCGCAGCCCCCCTTTTCCGATTACATGCGTCCGTGGATGGAGAGCAATCCGCACAATGGGAAGGGATGGGAGGGAAGGGGTAGGATGTCGGATTCGGCGCGGTGCACCTAGTTTGCCTTCTCCTCTCGACCATCTCATCGCCCTCCTAACTTCCGCATCCTCCTCCTTTTCCTGCTGCGCGTCCTCCTGTTCTCCCGCCACCTCCTCCTCCTCCTATGTGCGCAGTTCCCCTTTTCGCGATTTCGCGAAACACGATTGGGCCTGCTTGTTGGAGTTGCACGTCGGCTATGACATGCGTCCGCGACTCCTCCTCTCCCCCTGCATCTTCTCCCTTCTGCTCCCTCACTCATTCCTCCTCCTACTCCTCCTCCTCCTCCTCCTCCTCCTCCTCCCCCTCCTCCTCCTCACAGTCCGTCCCCTTCCTCCTGCTTCATCCCTCGTCCAGCACTGTCGCCATCCTTCCCTTCGTCACCTTTATCATTGTCAAGTTCTCTCAACCTTCCTTATATGGCCATGCCCCTGTTCCTTATCAGTAATCCGCTCGTGCCCGTTATCAATATCCGCATTGCCATATCTGTTTCTACATATGCGATATGCCTAGACATACATGGACATATGCACCACTGCACGTCCCCTTATCCGCCGCAGTGCCCCCATGCACACAGCGGAGTGACCTGAGGAGTGCCCAGGTCCCCTTCGGGTTCTGCGAACTGGGCGCTCTGCTCCGCAGGGGGCATTGTCCGCCGCTGTGCCACCATTTCCTCGCCCTCCCCTCCATCTTCCCTTCGCAATGAGTAGTTCCAGTAAGCTCCCCCCCGTCCCGATACCAGACGTGCCTGTAGGCTGGTCCAGGCGCCCAGGCCTTTCGCCGAAGACTCCCTCACCACTCATGGCCCTGAAGACTGAACTTTCCAACTGCTACACGAGGATGGAGGATGTTCTTCAGAATGGGGCTCGCGTCTTGGCACCCCTCACGCTCGTCCCAGGAAGCTTGCAGCCACTGCGAGCATGAATGGGGGGTCCTTTCCAAAGTGAGGCTCTCGCCACAGCGCATCGCACAATGGTGCTCACACAGTGGCAAGGCTGGAAGACGGAGGCCGGGTCCTTCTCACCATGAGGTTCTCGCCGCTCTCGCCTTAGCGCTGCGCACATTCGTCTAAAGATTCGACAGCAGCTTCAAGGATGGAGGGCGATTCATGTTCAAAATGTGGCTCTCGCTTGGGACTGCTTCCTCGAACTCCTCTTCCACCTCCTCCCTGTCCCCCTCGACCTTCCCTTTCCTCTTTCTTCCTCATCTTACGCCCTCCTCCCTCATTCATCTCCCCGTCCTCCTGCCCCTTCCCCTCCCTTCCTCGACGCCCGGACAATAAGGTGTCGATACCACTATTCCCCGGACCTCTCCTTGAATACGTTCTGACCGGAATGTCGGCGCGAATCCAGCCGTGATGAGATGACGAGGGCTTCCCAGGAGGCCCAGAAAGGGCAAAATGAGGGAACGGTGACGGAGTCGGTACGACTTCCTCCGCCGACTCCTCATCGCCACCGCTCGCGATCGGCGAACATATCAGCAAATACCCGCGCCCTTGCGGTCTGGGTTCCGGGGCGCGATCCTGGGCATCCGCGAAAAAACGCCTAGTATCCGCGGGGTCGCGGCCCAGGGGCCCGGCCCGTGCGGCGGCGACTGCGGATGTTTGTCGCCGACGATTCGACGTCGCCGCCCAGGGGACCAGGCGCCCTGAGCACGCGCGTGAGCGCAGAGAGACGGGCCGCGGTCGCGGCCTCCTCGGCTCCGCCGGGCTGGCCGCCGCCTGCTTCGGGTCCTGCAACAAGCCGCGGGGGCTCGATTGAGGAGGTCGGGCCACCACGGCAGCGACGAGGACGCCAAGCCGACGGCTTGACGACGACGACGACGCCGGCGGCGACGACGACCACGACGGCGGTGACGACAACGATGACGGCGGCGACAATGGCGACGACGACGACGACGACGACAACGACGACGACGACGACGGTGGCGGCGGCGGCGACGGCCCACCAGAGACCCAGATCTCCAACGATATGGCGATTTTAATCTGAACCTGTTTCCCTATTTGCGGCCTTTCGGGGCCGTTGTCGGGGCCAGGGATCACCAAAAACGGATACGGGGCGCACAAATGCCCCTGAGCAAGGAGCTGGGAGCACAAGGGTCGCGGGTTGAAAACACCAATCATGTCGGAGGATGTCTTGGTAGATATCGTCGGACGGAAGGTGGAGGGACTTTTTGACCGTTCCTCTCACGGGCTCCCCAGGTGCCTGCTCATAGCCATATGAAGAGAGCGGAGGAAGGATGAGACGAGAAGGGGGATGCTTGACTTGGCTTGCCTTAGCTGGCCTTGGTACTGAAGGCGATAAAAAAGCGTAATTCCACGAAGCCTTCGTGGCCGGACTCACCTTCAACATTGGAGTCCAGCCCTGCAGAGGCTCGCTGGATCGTTTCCGACCGCAGCCCCTGCACTCGTAGGCGATCGTCGGCCGCCAGGCCGAACGCTCGGAGCACGACACCCTTCGCCCCCCAGTCACCCCCTGGAGTTGGTGGGGCAGGCTGGCAGGGGGCGAGAATAGAAGAGCCCGCGGGCCACCGAGTTGCCCCCCGAAGGGACTAACAGTGCGCGGATACTTTCGCGGAAGTACCACGAGGAGGAGGAGGAGGAGGAGTGTTTTTTCAAGGGAGGGGAGGAGGCGCAGCGTCGACGAGCAGCGGGGGACCTGTGTGGTGGACAAGTCCCGCCTTGAACGCGAAGCACAGGTAATAGATCTTCAAGCTGCGACCAAGGCCAGTAGCTGGGCATGCTTGAAATTTATCGAGCGACGCCCACAAATGCCAGACGGAGAACGTGTTTGAAACAAATCAGAGGCCCCACCAATGCCAATATCATAAACGGTTTGAGATATATCAAGGACCGCCACGCTGCTAGTTGGATAACATGTTAAAAACAAATCAGAGACCCCCCACACAAACACACACACACACACGCCAGAAGCTGAGCATGTTTCAATGCATCACGAGACACACACAACATCCACACATATAAGATACTTAGGGTTAAACAGAAGCCCTACAGATGCCAGTAGATGAACTTGTTTGAGATGGATCAGCAACTCACAGCATTGCCAATAGAAGAACCTGTTTGCAAACTAACTGCCTCACGCCTCAGACTCTCACCATTGCCAGTCGCCGGACATGTTCAAAACATGCGCCGTGCCATGAAATATGCGCCGCCGTCCCGATAGGACGTCAGAAACGAGGAAAAGCAGGATTACGATTACGACATTCATGAACAGCACGTGCATCAATCACAAAACAAACCTCACCGTAATGCATCTGGACCTGAACCTCAGTCTCCGCCACCCCCAAGATACGTCCCACACGGCCTATGAGCCCGCCCTCCGTGACCGCACAGAACCTGTTGATGTACAGACTGAACGGCAACCCATACTGCTCGCAATCACTTCCAATGCTCGGGCAATCGCGCGGCCAGAAATCCACCGAATCACCTAGGAGAACATGAACCTCACGACGAACAGGGCAATCCACACCACGCTGCACTTCACAACAAAAAAACTCCTCTCCACTAGGAAGCCGAGAAACAGCAGGCCCACGCGGAGGATTCACCACAGCATGAAATCCGTGGGAAGTGGCTGCCTGCAGCTCTGCCAGAGCACGTCGCAAATCAACAAGACCACTCAACGAAGACACGTTTGCTGGCGCACCCGCCGAACTTGGACCATCGGGCTCAACATGAAGATCGCCACCGTGCGATGCAGCGCCAGCATCCAGAAAGCCGAGCGCCTGCAACAACGTGTCAGTAGCAGTTTCAACCATGTGGGTGAGACCACTGTGAGCTGGAAGATAAAACGTATTTCCGCACCCATGCACCTATTCGTCCGCAAAATCACCTGGCGTATCGCACGGAGGCCAGGCGCCGAGACGCGCGTAGCCATCAGCGCCAAAAACGGCAAGCGACGAGCAAGAGCACACGGGTGCGCCGACATCGTACGGGAACCGAGGCATGTGCGGAAGATGTGCGCAATGTCGTGGACGTTTTGGCAGGTACGAGGAACTCCATGGATCGCCACCGTCTCTGTGCCAAGGGTCGTTACCACCAAATGGATTCCCTTGATTCGCTGCTTTTGGCTCAGGCAGCTGCCTGCCCCTGCAACTTCCAAGGAGCACGTGCTCCCATCCCACCCCCCTCGCGGCGATGGTGGTGGTGGGACGACGCTGCTGGGTTCGGAGGCACATCCTGCAAGCCGTTAGCACCCACATCACTTTGGGCTCGGCCCCATTGCAGGGGAGGTCGAAAGTCAACATAGTATTGGATCCTATGGGCCCTGCCATCAGCGCGACCAATCGGAACATGTGACTGAACACCCTCAGCTGCATCGAGAGCCTTTTGAGGACGCACGTGGCAGTGGACATCGACACTCCGAATTGGGTTGTGGCTTCCTGCTCCCGAACTGGCCCCACCCCGAGACTTCGGTGCTAATGGTTGAGATGATGGTCCTGCTTGCCCACGTGGCCATGCTCCTGGTGGTGGCCAAGGTTGGTTCCGACAGTGTCGGCGTGATGTCCCCACGAGGAGGAGAAGGAGCAGGAGGATGAACAGGACGAGAAGGAAGAGGACCAGTGCAAACCAAAGACGCCTCAGCGATCTTGGGATAAACCCGCCCTCCAGATCTCATATCCATAGGTCCCTACAAGAACTTCTGCTCATTGCGGAATGCGCCCCATTGGAGGACACCCGTCTGAGAATGCTCAATCGTGCCAAACACCACTCTTAGGACTTCAGCGCCGGGCACCAGCGTGACTGATGCGTCCTGACCAATCCTGAATCGTGCCAGAACGCCGCTCCTGGGACTTCAACACAACGAATCAACCTGACTGTTGCGTCCTGACAACCCTAAATCGAGCCCGAACACTACTCCAAGACTTCAAGCACTCGAACCCCTGAATCCGCTATAAACTTTCAACTTCTGCTCCGCACTTCCTTCCCCCTGTTCGCGCGGCGCGCATCGCGGTAACTGAAGTCCTGCGCAAGCACCTGGACAGTGCGTGACGCGATACGTTGCGCACGTTTCCCTCCTTCGCCTCGCCTTCCTCCTCCTCCTCCTCCTCCTCCTCCTCCTCCTCCTCCTCCTCCTCCTCCTCCTCCTCCATGCCTGTCGCATGCCCGCATCGTGTTGACTGTCCCCTGGCCCCCCCCCAAACGGCGATCCAGGGCCACCTGCGCAGACCTCCGACATTTCGCGCTCATGCCGCCCCTTTTCTTCCTCGCTGGGCGCCGCGGCGGGCCGCCGCCCCCCCCCCCCTCAGGAGAACGCCGCGGGCGGGCCCGCGGGGCCGACCTCCCGCGCCTGGGGATGGCCGCGCGGGTTCAGCACGACGCGGAAGCTCACGGCGTCCCCGATCTGGAACCGGCCGCCTGCTCGCGTCGGGGCGTCGTCGTCGTCGTCGTCGTCGTCGAGCTCGTCCTCGTCGACGTCGTCGTCGTCGTCGTTGACGTCGTCGTCGTCCTCGTCGTTGTCCGACGACGCTCTCGCGGCGGCCCGCTGCCCGTTGCCGAGTGCTGCCCGCGGCCCCTTGCCAGGTGTCGCCCCTCGAGCTCGCGAGGGCCGCGGCAAGGGAAGCTCCCTGGCGCGTTCGGCCCTCGCCGGGCCCCCGGAAGCCTCCACGGGGTCTCCTGGGGGTGAGGGCCCGGGGCGGCCGCAAACCTGGCCAGCTGCGCCTGATCCTCCTCCTCCTCCTCCTCCTCCTCCTCCTCCTCCTCCTCCTCCTTGTCATGCTCCTTCCCCGCCCCCTGTACATTCCGCCGCCTCCTCCGCCTTCTCCACCTCGCCGTCGTCGTGGTGCTTGTCGTCGTCACACTCGTCGTCGTGGTCGTCGTCGTCGTCCTCCTCGTCCTCGTCGTCGTCGTCGTTGACGTCGTCGTCGTCGTCGTCCTCCACCTCCTCCCCCTTGCTCATGCCCTTGCTCCCCACCGCCCTCTCATACACATTCTCCTCAGCCTGCCCCTAGTTCTCTTACTCCTCTTGCTCCACCCTCCTCATCCTTCTCCATATCCCCGCTCCATACTCCTTCTCCACCCTTCTCATCTGTTGCTGCGAGATCCCCAAGCGCGAACAAAACTAGCCAGAGGCCAGTCCTCGCCAACACTAGCTGACGTTGCTCTCTCCTCCGCGACGAAAAAATGTAAATCTCGGGTCCCTTGGTGGCCATCAGGCTGCGATGATTGAGTTCTTCGCCTCCTCACCCTGTGAGCAGTCCTGATCTCCTCGTTTCCAGTACAAGTTCTAATGCGACTCCTTTGTTCCAAATTCTCAGATGATGTAGACAACTGTTCTTCATTTTGAAATTAAAAACTGATAGAACGCGCGACTCCCCCCATAATACTGCCGGGTGCCCTGAGACACAACAAAGCAGCCCAATAGCAGCAAAGGCGAAGATGCGGTTCAGGCAGTTGGAGGTCGGCAAGCGTAAACGTGGCTGGACAGGAATAACAGCATGGCCATGTGCACCTGGTTTTCGGGTTAAAATTCGGGGGTCTGGCGGCTGTTCGGGACGATCTGGGCACCCCTGGAACGCTCTCTGCGAGGCGCAGCCGCTGGAAGGCATCCAGAGGCAACGGTGGAGAACCGACGGAAAGACCGGGATGCCTCGAACCCAAAACGCTGCCCCTGACTGGCACATTGCTCAGGCCTGCCACCCGCAGCGCCACGAGCTCGACCTCCACGACGTCGAGCCTGCTGGCTGGATGCACGATCCCAGTGCGCCAGTGCGCCAGCGCCTCAGGCTCAAGCCCCCTCCCCCTCGGGCGCGCGGCCGAGGTCTTCTTCTGCAACCTGCAGGGCGACCGCCGACACCTCCCGAGGCAGCGACCGCCACCGACCACCCGCAGGCTGAGAGGCTCGGCGCGCAGCACCTCGAAGGCGGGCGGGGCTAGGCAGATAGCGCAGGTGCATTCCGGCTTGCAGCTCGGCCTACTAGCATGATCGGAGTGAAGGGGCCGAACGGTCTTACACCATCTCTGGTTGGGAAAATGGGGCTCCGTGGCCCAGATCCTGCTTTGTTCCCCCAACTTGGCCTGGCTGGCGTTCTGGCGGCTATATTGTTGCCGTCGCCGCCCCGTCGCCGCCTCGTCGCCGCCCGTCGTCTGGGCCAGGCTGGCGGTCTGGCACACCTTGCCGTCGCCATGGCCACTCGTCGCCGCCGCTTCTGGGCCTGGCTGGCGGTCGCCGCGCGCCGCCGTCCGTCGCCGCTGCTTCTGTGCCTGGCTGGCGGTCGCCGCGCTTGTTGTCGCCGTCGACGCCCGTCGCTGCTGCCGCCACATAGATTGCACTGCGTAGATTGCACCACGAAAACTGCACCGTATAGGTTGCACTGCGTAGATTGCAACGCCTAGACTGCACCGCTGTGCCTTTACTACGTCTGGTGCACCGCACAGATTGTCCAACATACGTTGCACCACCAAACTTGCAACACGTAAGTTGCACCAGGTGAATTTCACCACGTAGATTGCACCACATACATTGCGTCTCGCCTGGGCCCTGGCTGCACTGCTTTTGAAATTGAGGCTCACACTCAAGCGTTTCGGGGGTGCGCCCACACCGACCCCCCAACAACAACAACAACAACAACAACAACAACAACAACAACAACAACAACAACAACAACAACAACAACAACAACAACAACAACAACAACGCTTCCGCTCGATACTTCCTCGTTGTTGACTCAAAACTGGTGCCCTTGCCCGCCGCCAAAAAATGGCCTTCCAACGAAACCAGCTCGCCCGCTCGATACAGTCCCGCTTTTTACCCAAGCGTGGCTTCCCCGCCTCGGGTCCGCTAGAGGGCCCCCTTACAACAACGACGCTGCCGCTCGATACTCCCTCGCTTTCTGCTCAAGACTGGCGCTGTTGCTCGCCGCCGAAAACCAGCCCTGTAACAAAACCAGCTCGCCCGCTCGATACCTCCTCGCTTCTTACTCAGCAGTGGCATTCGCGCTTTAGGTCCGCAAAACGGCCCCCATACACAACAGTGACGCTGCCGCTTGATACCCCCTCGCTTTGTGCTCAAGAGTGGAGCCCTCGTTTCGCCATCGCCTGTGAGGTGGTCCTGGGCGGCCCCAGGTGGGTTCCCCAAAAACCGTTGCATGGGCGCCGCAAGGGTCCCGCCCTGGGACGGCCTGAGAGGGCCCCATGACGGCCCAAGAGGCCGACAAGACGGCCCACAGGAGGCCCCAAAGATTTGGAACGAAGGTGGTAAAGCGCATCGAAAGAGGTGTTGCACAACCAACAAATTCGGGCGCGAGATCTGGATAATGGAGTATCAGGCCCCCTGCGATTGGAATAACAATGATTCGCCCATGAAACGGGAATGCATGTGAATTCACGAAACATTATGGTGCAATGACTTGTTGTTAACGCCCTCCCGCGATCCACCCGCGACCCACCCGCGACACACCCGCGACCCACCTGTGACCCACTCCGCGTCCGCCCGCTCACTCTTGTCCGCCACTGCAGGGTGCTTCGTGAAGGCGTCTCGCGCAAAAACCGTCCAGCGCGAAAGGTCGGCGGTGAACTCCGGCAGGGCTCGCGACGAGAGCGGCCCCCGTTTCCGCAAGAAGCGGTTACGAGGCCCTAGACGACAGCGGCAAGCAGCCGTGCAACAACAGCAGGCGGGGGGAAAGGACAACACCAGAAAGGATAACCAGAATGAGCTAGAAAACGGTGGAATCGTTCCGCACTTTGCGTGCGCTCTCGCTGAGGGGGCGCGAGGTCTCGGGCCCAGGCTCGGTTCCGCGGGCCTTTGCTGCTCCCCCTGCGTGTGCCACTCGCTGGCGCCCCCTCCCGCGCAGCCCCGAGAGCCGCGGCCTCCGCGGCGCTCGGCCCCGCGCCAGCGCTGCTCGGTGCAGCTCCTGCGCGGGTGCGCAAGCACGGGCCTGTCGGTGGCCGGCGGAGCCGCGGCGACCAGCGGGCCTCATTACAGGGCTGAACCTAAACGGTGTTTTCCGTTTCCGTTTTGTTTTCGTTGTCCCTCGCTTTGTCATCAGTCCGCCTTTACTGCAAAACGAAGGCAAAACGACCACGGCCCACGAAATCGCCAAAAACACCGCTTAGGTCCACCCCTGCCTCAGGACAGGAAAGGAAAAGGCCGCGCCTAGGAGACGGCGCATCGGCAGATGGTTCGGCAGCTCGTAGTGTACATTGGCGGTGGCGTGCAATGGGCATGCAAGGGAGCAGCTGCGCAGTGCCTCGTCGGACAGGCCATTGTATTCTTTGTGCCAGCGGAGTGCGAGGGAAACCCGCGCGGCTTTCCGGAGAAGGCGGAGGGAGGGAGGGAGGGGAGGGAGGGAGGGAAGGGCCCTGGGAAGGGTACAAGTTTGGGGGCCATTGTCTCATCGGAGCCGGCTCAGATGACCAACAGGAGGCGCAGAGGGCGAATCTCGTTTCAAGTGACAGCGTCCGTGTGCGGGCCCCGCCGCGGTCGCACTACAGGCGCGCGCCCCGCCAGGGGCACGAGCGTGCCCCCAGCTCGCGAGACCGCCCTCCCGCCACGAACGCGCACGCAGCGCGCTCGCTCGAACTTTGCTTGCGCTCAGACCCGTGTGCGTCCCCGTCTCGCCCTCGAGGCTCCACTCCAGCCGCCTGTGTGCTGGCCCTGCCACTGGCTCGCGTGGCCGGCGGACCTCGCCAGGGCACCGCCATCCAGTCGATTGGATCCTGCCGGCTGCTAAGGCCTTCCGCCAGCGTCGCGCGATAGCCCAGACTTGCGATATGCCTTTTTCCATGCGCGGTCCCCGGAAGTCCCGACTCTTGCCCCACGGCCACTTTTTCATTATGAGTCGTTCTTGTTAACCGTCCTGGGGCCGGCGAAGGCCCCCAGAGGCAGAAAGCAGGCAGACAACTTCCGCCGTGACTCTATTCACAAAGCGAGGATCTCTGGGAAGTCGAACCCTCGATTTATCGACGATGACCGCCTTCTCTGAAACGCCCTGCTCGGGAGTGTTGGCCCAGGTCCAGCAGCGTGGCCTGGACTGGCGCCCAATCTGGCCTCGCACCCTGCGCTGTCCCTCACAGCCCCTGCCCTGGCCATCGCCGCGCAAATTGGGAGGGGCTCCAAGTATGTACCAAGTCGTCTGGTCGGCCAAGACGCTCGGTGCATCCACGCCCGCAGCTCCCCAAGCTCTGGGATGCTGGAGCGTCTGTGCACCGAATTCCTTCGCACAGATCCCTGGCTCCCCGGCCGACCAACCGACGTGGTGTATGCACGAAGCCCCTCCGACGCAGGTTGTCCCAGACTGGCTCGGTCCAAGGGCCAGATCTCGGGGGGGGCTCTCTCAAGCTCGAGCCAGTCGTCCACGAAGTGTGGGGGGAGGAGGAACGCGAGGAGAGCGCAGGAACGCAAGAGAAAATCTGGGCGGGATCTTTGCCTCTACCCTCGACGTCTCCCCCCGTGCCCTGCCTCTGCTCCCCCTGCCCGTGCCGCCTATCTCGAGGTCCGAGACGAAGACATCCTTGTTGTAAATCGCGCTTGTCTCCTCGCACTTGATGAAGCCAAAGTGCTTCTCGGCATTGAAATGGACAATGGTGCCCGTGTAGCGCGTAGAGTCTTCGCCTCGCGAAGCGACCAGCCCGCGCTGACTTAGCACAGCTGGCTGTCAGATATCTCCCCGTTGCTTGTACGACTGTTGAATCTGAATTGCTAAAGGGTTATTATTGTTGGACTTCCTGACTCCGCACTGGCGCTCTCGCCTCCTGTCCTTCTCTCCTGCCTCCTGCCTCCTCCTCCTCTTTCTCCCTCCTTCTCCTCCTATTATATCCTACTTCCTCCTCCTCCTCCGCCTCCTCCTCCTCGTCCTGCTTGTCCTTCGCCTCCTCCTCCTTCCGCCCCTCCTTCTCCTCGTGCCTCCTCCCACTTCCTCGTCCTCCTCGTCTTTCTCGTCCTCGAACCCCTCACGTGAGTCCCAGAGACGGCCACCAAAGGCCCTCCAGGGCCATCCCCGTGCAACCAGAGCCTTGTTACCCATGTGTTTCCTCCTCCTCCTCCTCCTCCTCCTCCTCCTCCTCCTCCTCATCATCATCATCATCATCATCATCATCATCCCCATCCTCCTCCTCCCTCTTCGTGTCAACTCTCATGGTTTTCGTTTCTGGATTGGCCGGTAGAAAGTCAGACATCTGTCCTGCTGTTGTCCCATGGCTTTGTTGTGGTAATCGAATATTTGTCCAGTGGGTGTCCCAATTTTGTCCCGCGGTTGTCCCGTCCTTGTCCCGTGGTAATAACCCCATGTTTGGCCCGCGTTTTGTCCCGTGGTCGTCCCGTCGTGGTCCTGTGCTTGTCGCGGGATTGCCCGTGGTTGTCCCGCGGCTGTCCCGGGGTTGTCCCGCGGCTCTTCCGTTTCAAGACATAGATCTTGGGATCGATCGGTAGATGAGCAAGGATGTCTATATATATATATATATATATATGTGTATATATGTGTGTATATATATATGTATCGGATGTTAAGGGGATGAGTCCGACGTGAAACGGAGACCCCCCCTTACCGGGAAATCGATTTCGGGTTCGGGTTCATGTCGTGCGTGCCGTTCCTGCGTGCGGGCGAGGCGAAGCTGCGTGGGCGGGCGAGAAGAAATCCTCTCCTCCTGTGGCTGGGCCGCGGCCGGACAAAATGTTACTCCTCTGGCGGCCGGTGCCGCGCGGTGTCCCGCGGGTGTCCCGCTGGCGTCCCGGAATCCTCCTGTGGCTGGGCCGCGGCCGGACCAAATGCTTCTCCTCCAGCGGTCGGTGCCGCGCGGTGTCCCGCCGGTGTCCCGCTGGTGTCCCGTGGTGTCCCGTTGAGTGAGATCGATCGTGAGATCGACAGCGAGATCGATACTGAGATCGATGTGGTGCCCCGAGGTGTCCCGTGGTGTCCCGTTGAGTGAGATCGATAGTGAGATCGATAGTGAGATCGACAGGTGTCCCGTGGTGTCCCGTGGTGTTCCGTTGAGTAAGATCGATGGTGAGATCGAGAGTGAGATCGATGTGGTGCCCCGAGGTGTCCCGTGGTGTCCCGCTGAGTGAGAGAGATCGTGCGATCGATGGTGCGATCTACAGGTGTCCCGAGGTGTCCCGTGGTGTCCCGTTGAGTGAGATCGATAGTGAGATCGATCGTGAGATCGATAGTGATATCGATGAGTGTCCCGTGGTGTCCCGTTGAGTGAGATCGATCGTGAGATCGATAATGCGACCGATACTGAGATCGATGTGGTGCCCCGAGGTGTCCCATGGTGTTCCGTTGTGTCCCGTTGAATGAGATCGATAGTGAGATCGATAGTGAGATCAATCGTGAGATCGATAGTGAGATCGATGTGGTGCCCCGAGGTGTCCCGTGGTGTACCGCTGAGTGAGATCGATCGTGAGATCGATTGTGAGATCGACAGGTGTCCCGAGGTGTCCCGCTGAGTGAGATCGATAGTGAGATCGATACTGAAATCGATAATGAGATCGATGTGGTGTCCCGAGGTGTCCTATGGTTTCCCGCTGAGCGAGATCGATAAGGAGCAATCGATCTCACTATCGATCTCACTCAACGGGACACCACAGCACACCACGGGACACCACGGGACGCTTGTCGATCTCACTATCGATCTCACTATCGATCTCACTCAACGGGAAACCACGGGACACCTCGGGGCACCACGGGACACCGCGGGACACCTCTCGATCTCACTATCGGTCTCATTATCGATCTCACTATCGATCTCACTCAGCGGGATAACATAAGTCACCACGGGACACCTCGGGACACCACATCGATCTCACTACTATCGATCTCACGATCGATCTCACTATCGATCTCACTCAACGGGACACCACGGGACACCAGTTGATCTCACTATCGATCTCGCTATCGATCGCACTCAGCGGGACACGGGACACCAAGACACCGCCCGGCCCAACTGGGACACCTCCCGGTCACCGGCGGACGGGAAACGGACTTTCGCTCCTATACTGGCACCCGGGACACCCGGGACACCGCCCAGCCCAAATGGGACACCTCCCAGCCACCGGCGGACGGGAACGGACTTTCGCTCCTACTTCGGCCTAGCTACAGGAGGATCATGCGCAGCTTCGCCTCGCCCGCACGCACGACACGAACACGAAACCGAAACCGATTTCCTGGCGGGGGGTCTCCTTTTCACTGTGATCTCAACCCCCAACCTCTGATATAAAAATTGGGACCGATAACAAGACCGAGTTTAGCCTGATAGTGAGACCAATCGATCAGGTCTGGGACAGGTAGATCGTACAATTTACCGAGGGGGTGATAGTGGAGTCGGTAGGTTGGTAGTGGTACTGGAGTATGCGTATTTGTGCACGTATCATATTGAAGGAAAAATATGGCAACCGACCGATACATCGCGAGGTCAAAGGCTAACATGCACGATAACCTGACAGCGATACATAGGTAGACACGTGTATGTAAATAGCATGTGTTGGTACCGCCATCGGTCGATAGCGATCGATATTTTTATATTTATATATATACATACGAATATAAGAATATATGCCGAAACGCACCTGGCTAGCACCCAGAGATTGCTTCGAACATTCAAAGGTTTACACACACACCCCTTCCTTTCTTTATAGTATTATCGTTTTCTCTCTCTCTCTCTCTCTGTGTCTCCCACTTCTCTGTCTGTCTCTCTCTCTCTCTCTCTCTCCCTCTCTCACTCTCTCGCTCCCTCTCTCTCAATGCATGTTTCTCCCAATATCCCGATATATTATGTCCCTTTCTCTGCTACATCGGTTATCATGTCATTTCCTCTCATTATGTCTCTGCCTCTCTTGTTCTCCCTCTCTCGTTCTCTCTCTCTCTCTCTCTCTCTTTCTCTGTGTCTCTCTCTCTCTTTCTATGTGTATATATATATATATATATATATATATGTATCTCTCTCTCTCTCTCTTTCTCCCCCCCTCACTCTCTCTCTCTCTCTCTCTCTGTCTCGTGTCTCGTTATCTCCCTCTTCCTCTCTCCATCTTTCTCTCTGTCTCTCTATATATGTTCTTTGTTATATATCGGAAGTGAGGGGGTGAGATCGAAGTGGAACGGAGAGCCCCCCTACCGGGAAATCGGTTTTGGTTTCGTGTTCGTGCGTGCCGTGCGTGCGGGCGAGGCGAAGCTGCGTGGGCGGGCGAGAAATAAGTCTCCTGTAGCTGAGGCGCGGCCGGACCAAAAGTCTCCCTTCCAGCAACCCTTGCCCCGCGGTGTCCCGCCGGTGTCCCGCTCGGGGGCCGGTGGCGCGCGGTGTCCCGCCAGTGTCCCGCCGGTGTCCCGTCGGTGTCCCGATGATGATGATGATGATGATGATGATGATGATGATGATGATGATGATGATGATGATGATGATGATGATGATGTTGACGATGTTGACGATGATGATCATGATGGTGATGGTGGTGATGATGGTGTCCCGATGCTGATGATGATGTTGACGATGTTGATGATGATGATGGTGATGGTCGTGATGACGATGATGCCCCGATGATGATGTTGATGATGGGGATGCGGCTGATGATGATGATGGTGCCCCGATGATGATGATGATGTTGATGATCATGATGACGTCGATGATGATCATATGATTTGATGATGATGAAGATGTTGATGATGATGATGATGATGGTGTCCCGATGATGCTGATGATGATGAGGAGGTTGATTATGATGCTGTTGATGGTGATGATGGTTTCCCGATAATGATGATGATAATGATGATGATGATGACGATGCTGGTGTTCCGATGATGATGATGTTGATGATGATGAGGGTGATGATGAGGTGATGATGATGATTTTGATGATGGTGGCCCAATGATGGTGATGATGATTCTAATGTTGGTGATGATGATGGTGTCCCGGTGATGTTGATGATGATGATGATGCTGATGATGGTGATGATGATGGTGACGATGCTGATGGTGTTCCGATGATGATGATAATGACGATGATGTTGCTAATGATGATGAGAATGATGATGCTGACGATGATGATGATGGTGTCCCGATGATGATGTTGATGATGTTGTTCATGATCATGATGATGAGATGATGATGATGATGATGGTGGTGGTGTTCCGGTGATGATGGTGATGGTGTCCAGATGATGATGTTGATGATGATGGTGACGATGATGGTGTCCCGATGATGATGATGGTGATGATGTTGACGATGATGGTGATGAGGTGATGATGACGATGGTCCTCCGATGATGATGATAATGTTGATGAAGTTCATGACGACAAGGTTGATGATGATGACGTTGATTGTGATATCGATTGTGATATCGATAGTGAGATCGATACTTAGACTGAATGGGAGATCGATTGTGAGATCGATAGTGAGACCGATAGTGAGATCGATAATGAGATCGATAGTCAGGTCGATTGTGAGACCGATCGAATGAAATAAATCGAGTGAGATCGATTGTGAGATCGAATGAGTGAGATCGATCGAGCGAGACCGATAGTGAGATCGATGGTGAGATTGATAGCGAGACCGATCGAGTGAGACGTTGGTTCCTCCCCCCCGAACCTCCTTATCACCCGAAGGGTGGTCGTACAGGTGTATG